CAATAGTCACATCCGTTGTCCGGAGCTGGTCGTATAGCCCAAGCCCCAATAGTCACATCCATTGTCCTGAGCCAGTCATATAGCCCAATCTGCAATAGTCATCCATTCTCCTGAGCCGGTCGTAAACACACGTTTAAGACAAGCTCATATTTATTCCCTTAGAATATGAAAGCACTTGCCATCTAATGCAATCCCTGAAGATGCACAAGGGCATTTTCTTTCATCATAAGGGGGCCCAGATTTTATTCACTGTCATGACTTCACAGCTGTCACTGTATTGAAACCAAAATGTTAGTAAGCTACATGCACCGTAGATGTTTTGGGCTGTGAACTTCAACCTTTTAACAAACTTTCCAAAGGTACATGTAGTTTGATTACTTTGTTTATTGATACCCACTCACAATGCTCTTTATCCTTTAGTTCAAACATCTCCAAGCATGCCAAGAGTGCAGCTGTAACTTGTTTGAAAACTCAGTTTCAGGCCTTCAGAAATATGCTGTGTTCATCTTCAGTTGTTTTGGTTTTAAACTTTTAGTAATACAGGGTGTCCCAGAAAAATCCAAACCCTGTGGAAAGGGGTTAATATGCCCAAACGATGAGATATTGGATGCCCCATTTTCAAGACAACGGTGTTCAGTCATGCATGACAGGAGGGATACCATCAAGGTATCATTAGAAAGAACACTGCTTCTACTTTTCAGAGATCCTTATACATTATAATCATATCTCATGGTTTGGGCATGTTAACCCCGTTTCTCAGGGTTTATTTTTCTGGGACACCCTGTATTGGTAAGACTTTGCTCTTTTGTTAATGCAGTTTAGTCAATTAAGCTATTTAGCTTTGGGAAGTTCATTCCTAAAAGCCTTGTTGTCTTGCTTAATATTTTGTAGTTGGATATGCCAAAAATCAAGCTGTTCTCCAGAGCCATGGTAACTTCCTGTGTTTCCTGGATGCAGTAAGTTTAACAGAAATATATTATATGATGAACCTTCTTTTCAATCACTGTGGGGGTTCATACTTTGTCAGCATAGTCATCGGATCAGATGTTCAAATCCAAAAGTGCAGCCTAGCAGATCATATGTTGAGTTTCTTGACAATCCACTTGCCTGTTGGCCACCAGGACTAGGTACCGGCATTGGCTGGGCAATCAGCTGCAATGGAACAGTATCCTTTGTGGAAGTGGAGATATTTTGAGTTCACTCATATCGTTCGAAACAGAGATAAACACAATTGTTCTTCATCAGCATAGTTGGGGGGCGTAGGGCCCATGTCTACTTGCAACACTGTTATCCATTCCATTATCCCCCGCCCTGTCACCTGAAATTTGAGAAAAACAATGAAAGTTGTTGGAAAAACTTGCATTTGACACCCCATCTTACATTTGACATCCAGCCTCCCCACTCTTGCCTCCATTGTGAAAATCCTAGCTATGCCACCAGCTCACGTGTACAGCAGCTTGGGGTATTACAGTTCTGTTGCAGCATGACCTGTTTGGTCACACCTTGGAGCAGTTTTTGTACAGTTCTAAATTTGACAGTTGCGGCTTGTAATGAGATTTGGTGTGTATTTTACACTTAATTTTTTTTATACATGTAATGACATTTCCCAATGTCTTGTTATTAGTCTTTGAAGGTATTTTTCTAACATTTGTCTATTCATTGCACAGGGAATAAGGCATAGCCTGTGCATTAACAGGTTACATGTATGTTTTTACCTGAGCCCAGGATGATGTGATGGACGGTCGTCGCATTGAAATGCAGTTGGCTGCCACAGTTATTCGGCCATTCACGGTGAGTAGAAAAGGGATGTTCTGATCACTTTAATTAGACAAGCAGCTGTTGAAACCAAGTAAATTGAATGTAATCCACTTGGCTTCAACACCTGCTTGTCATATTGTACAAAATTCATCCCACGAATAAAATGCTCCACCCCATGTACCTTTCAATGCAGATAACTGGTTGCCAATTTTACAGAGTACCGGCAGGTTCAACCGAGCGATACACAAAGTGGGCCAACTCCATTAATCAGGAACAGCTGATGACACAGGTGAAGTAGGATAATCAGTTACTTCCATGTATTTGGTGCTCAGTATTGCCAAACGAATTTGCCCATCCAGATGTGAGCTGATTCTGTGTGCCAACTAATCAGAGCTGAGTCAAGGGCAGTTTTGCAAAGGAGTACCTTGAGCTATGGGCCCCCTCTGTCCCTTTGTAGATCAACCCATCGGGAGGGTTTTGAAATTGTGATGCAGTCAGGGTCAGAAATGCTACCAAAGCTGTTGATCGGTCCACAGCCATTATTTTAGTACAGGAGATACAGGTAGGTGCAGAAATTGTGACTTTGATGATAAAAGCATGAAATTTAACAGAGGGTAAAAGAAGGTCTTTCGAAAGATATCTGGTTATAGGGCCCTTGCACATGCGTCCTATGACAATGGCAACCATTTTGTAAAATGGCCGTCATTGGTGTCAAGGGGCAAATCTGCAGTGGCCTTATAGCCAATATCTTTTGTAGGATGCAGGGTGACTGTACAAAATTTCATGCCTTTATCATCAAAGGCACAATTCTCTCAAATATTTCACGTATCTGGCCAACTATTTGGTCCTCCTGCCCCAAAAAAAGCATGACAGATTGGTTTTGTTTGTTAATTTCTTTCTCTCTTAAATTGTTGCCTTCATCTGCTTAAGAACTTGGCTGCTAGATGGTAAGAATATCTTTTTTGGCTGTTCGTTTGGTTCATCATCACTGCCTAAGAGGTTAGTTGTAAGTGCTTCCATGGATTAAAATGCAAGGAAATTACAAACAACTACGAGAAATCAATTTCTTTTCAGGTCTACACAGCTCATGGGCCAACTGTTATCATGCCTACATGGTTCTGCTCGAGGGAAACATTTGACAGAGTGGGTGCATTTAATGAGCATGGCAAGGTACATAGCATTTTTTAAGGCTGGTTTATAATTGGTCACAGAACTGAAAAATTGATGTGTAGCCATCCTGCAAGTGGTTTTAAAATGAAGCACCGCGACAAGTCTCCAAAATATTATCAGTGACATGAATAAAACTTATGCCGGCTGTTTTGCCCTCAGAAAATCTCTGTTTGTTTTCAGGGGACACCTGAAGACCTGCTTTTCTTCTTTGAGCATTTACGCCTAGGTGGGAAGGTCTTCCGAGTTGACCATTGCCTTCTCATGTACCGATACCACCCAGCCGCTGCCACTCATTCAGTCTCACAGTAAGTGGATCACTTCCTTTCTTTAATTGGCCAAGTCCAACATCAGTATGGACCATGTTCACAAGTAATTCGGTACTAGTGACACGGAAAGAAACGGACAGCGCTTTCTGTCGTAGAGAAGCTGGACCAATCTTTCTTATTGTATATCCATCTGGCGCCCAAGTGGCAACCTCATGGCTGCATTGAAGTCATGCTAGTGGCAAAGTGACTGGAGCCATCAGCCAGCGGCTCCCATAGGTACATGGATAATTCCGAGTCATAGCCCACTAATTACGATGCTGCCTAATTACCCTATATACCAGTGCAAAGCTAATTGACTCCTTTTGGGTTTGGAAGATGCCTGCTGGCCTACCTACTGTCCCAAGATGAGTGATCACAAAACAGGATGACTTATACCATTCTCTTTTAACCCTCTAGAGAGTCAATATGGGATATCAGAATGAAGGCACTTGAGGAGCGGGTCTTAAGCTGTTGGGACTCCTTTACCATTTGGAATGCTGGGAAACAGGGCCGGAGGTTCTATCGGAGCCTCAGCGAGCATAATAAGGAAAAGGTACACATCAAATGTGAGTTTTGACAGTGCAGTGGCGTCATCGTTGAGACTGTCCTCGTTTTCATGCAGATTTTGAGTCTAGTAGTTGTTGTTGGCTCTGTGATCTCTGACGTGTTGGTCATCTGATTGGAATTTTCCAATCAGCTTATTCCAGTTGGCCCTGCAATCTTCATGATTTGCTCTTGAGGATAAAGTCAGACTATGGGAAAGACAGCCTTCCCTGCAGCATCTGTAGCTACCAATAAAATTTCAGCTTCGCGGTGGTGTTACCTGTAACCCCTGCTCGTATTCCAGATTTATATGAGTACAGATGTCCATTAAATTTATTCCCTCGAACTCACCAACTAAAGCTTCCAGTGCGGGCAAGTTTGCAGGTGCTTTTAATCAGCAGTTGTTACATTGCAGGACTTCTGGGAGAATGGAAAGAGGCACACTCAAGCTCTTCTGTCTTTGCCATAGGTTTTCCAACAGAGGCTGAGTCATTATTTAGGAGTTCCATTTGTATAATAGATGCAGCAAACTGTATACATAGACAGGAGTCTTCAAATTTGGTCAAAACATCAAGCCCCCACATACAGGTCCCATAAGTACAGTAATTGCTAAGTCGTGGACCGCATTGAAGAGATAGACAAACCCCCCAGTTTGAGAGAGGCTTTTTACTAGTTGTAAGGCCGATGAATATGTCAATAGCCAAGGTCTTTAACTCACAACACTTTGCATTTCTAAACAAAAAGGGAATTAAGAGGCCTGCATCAGCTGAGATAAGCCTTACCTTTTGCCCTTATTTGTTAAATCATGTTGAGCAAGACAAATATGAAGTGTTAATGTTAGCATCCAAAAA